CCTCACCAGTCGCCCTCCAACGGGTGGGACCGTGTCCACCTATCTATACATGCGGACCCAAATTTTGTAGGCAATGGTAGTTAGGACTAATTCAAGTAACTAATACTCCCTCCGTCCCATAATTCTTGTCTTAGATTTGTTTAAATACGGATGTATCAAGTCACGTTTTAGTATTTAGATACATCCGTATCTAGACTAATCTAAGATAAAAATTTTGAGACGGAGGGAGTACAACATATGGGTGACAATTCTGCAAGTCTCGAGTACAAGGACTAAATCGAATCACCCGCGCAAGTACATGGACTATATGTGCATTTTATTCATGCATATAATATAATCAAATCCCAATGTGTTGGATGTGTAATACTTCTCTCTCCTTCCTTTCTCTCTCTTCCTGCTCCCGATTGAGAGTCACCTTTGCCGCTTCGGTCCATCACCCTTCTTCCTCCAACGTCTCGCACCAGAGTGTAGACGAGAGAGGTGACGAGAATTCCCCTGCACATAGTAGGTTGTCTAGGGCTTAGGTCGTGTAGGGTTAGGTTAGCCGTGTGGTTGCCGTGTTGGCGCTTGGCGTCATTGCTGTTCTGGAGTCTATCTCTGGCGCATGCAAGAATGCTGGGATGCTCCTCTGGCCGAGATCCATGATGGATGGGTATGGAAGAAAAGGGCTGGCCAAGACTCCTTCACTAAAATCGCTCTTTTCGCCCTTCAAATTTGGAGGATGGTGGCCATGCATGCAGGTTTGTTTGAAGTTGGTTTTCTTCCTCTCTTCTCCTGCCACTAGGGTGATTGCCGAGAGGCGTATGGGGAAGTTCCTAGGCATCAATGGGGAGGTCTTGCTGCAATCTTTCGGCATATAGTCTTAGTGGGTTCTTCATAGCCTAATGTCAGCCTACCGCCGACCTTGCTAGCTGAAAGGCAGCTGCTCCGGGCGTCTCTTCATTGCCAGATCTTGATCAGCCTCCAGGATGACGCGACGAAGAGCAGGCTTTAATTTACTGCATCAACACGCCGACCGCCATCTGTTCGGGCCATGTGGTCCCATCTCCGGCACCGAAGACTAGCCACAATGGAGAGTAACATACCCTAGTAACATACACATATCCCTATACTATGTTACTACCTCCATAGTGGGTAGTAACATAAGTATGATAACATGCAAAGTTTCATTTATTAGGTTTTAGACTCATATTGCATTGGGACATGTGATGTAACAGTAATTAGCTAAGTTACTCAAACTATCTCTCTCCTTATTAACTCATTGCCATATAAGCAAATTTGCTGAGTTGGACTCGATGTTACTGCCGAAGTTACTCCCACTGTGGCCAGTCGAAGGGGATGACCGTGCTTTGAACTTTTGAAGCTTCTCCGTGTCGGCGGTTGTCAAGGACCAAATTGTAGTAGAGTCCTTTGTGCTAAAGTTGAGGAATGGGTTGTAATTTTCCCTTTTTCTTAGGGTCCTTTGTGTAATTTGTATCTGCACCGGCCGTTATTAACGCAGCCTCTTTGTTGGTTCAAGAAGTGAAGAAGTGTGCTCCTTCTCGAGAGCGGCTACTCTGTTTGCCTTCCTCGTCTCGTCTCGTCTTCCGATCCCGCACTGCTTATCTGCTCGAGGCGGCGCACCAACTCAGAAGTGTGAATCGAGATGGGTTAGGGCAGGGAGAAGAGGTCGACGACGGCAGAGCGAGCAGCCCTTCTGCCGTGCCGCCGGGGCCGGCGAAGAGAGGTACGCGGCGTGACGGGGTGCGAATCTTGGGCTTCTTTCGTCCATCTTCCCCGCCTGTTAGTTAGTTTGTTGATCTTGCTCATTCGGATTCGGTGCCCACCACCTCTGCAGCCTCGGCGCAGGACACTTGTTCGACGAAATGGCGGAGAGGCTCTGCACCACCAGTGAGAGCAAAGCAGCCGTGGCTGGCGGCGGGGACCGTTTGAGCGCCCTCCCAGAAGATGTGATCCGGCTGGTGCTGTCCTTCCTGCCCTCCGAAGAAGCGGTGCAGACGTGCCTGCTCGCCACTCGCTGGCGCAACCTCTGGAAGTCCGTGCCGTCCCTTCGTATCTACAGCTGCTGCTATGGCACCGATGATTTTATCGACAGCCTGCTTCGCTACCGTGACCGTGATGCGCCTCTGCATGAATGCGAGATCCTCGTTGAAGCCGATTGCTCGGACGAGCTTCACCGAAATGCCGAGCGGTGGCTCCGTTATGTGGTGTCGCTCAAAGTGAGGGTTCTTCGGTTCGACATGTTAAATCATGCTGATGGTTTCCCGCTCTCAGCTGGGCCTCTCGTCTCCGAGCACTTGACAAGGCTAGATCTTTTCCGTGTTGGGTCCAAGGACCTCCCTTTAGATGTTTCGGGCTGTCAATCACTTGAGGAGTTGGAGATCCGCCAAAGTGCAGTTGACATTGGGAGCGTTGGGACTCGCTTCCCAAAATCTTTGCGACTTCTAAGAATCAGAGATGTAAATTTTCTGCCCAAGGATACCCGGTCTTCCATTTCTGCACCAGGTCTGCTTACCTTGGAACTAGTTGATTGTTTGGGGAAGACTCCGTTCCTGAGCATGCCATCATTGGTAACGGCATTAATCGGGGTTGGACACGATTGCGGGCGTTCCTATTACTGCAATGCCTGTGGTGGTGTGTCATGTCCGGAGTGCTATGGTATAGATGTTTGTGTGCTTCTCAAAGGTTTGTCAAGTGCTATGAATTTGGAGCTGATGGGTCTTAGCTCTATGGTACGTTTGCTCTTTTTTTTCAGTGGATATGCTTGCTGTTTTGCTGACCCCCTTTTGTTGTTTGCTGTTATTCACCTTTGCACCCGTGTATCCGTTAAAATGATTCAGATTAATTTAGGAGCCATTTCGACTTATGCAACCTTAATATTGTGTGGTCTAATTAAATGTGTTTTTGAATAAATCAAACGATGTAAAATCTTTTTCCAGGGAATGAATTGCTTACTTGGAAAAGGAACACTCTAGAAAGCTTGTATTCAGCTTGGTATTATTAAATCATGTAATTGAAGTTAGAGCTTCATTTGTCCTTTAATTCTTCACTCTGTCCAGATCTTCAGAAGGGAGATAAAATGGTGCCCTACGTTTAGCAACCTCAAAACATTGTTGCTTGGTGACTGGTTTATGACTGCTAACTTCAGTGGACTAGTTTGCTTTCTCCGGCACTCACCAGTTCTAGAGATGCTTCAGCTTCGACTTAGTATTTTTTCTAAGGTATACTTTTTTTCTATGTATGATGTCTTAATATTTGAAATTGCTATCTACTGTTGATTGATTTCAGTAAATTGTTTTGTTTTCAACAGGAAATTGAAACGAGCCAAGTCTATAAGCCAAAGAAACAATTCTTGGTGTCGAAGCATCTCAAGGCAGTCGAAATCATATGTTGCGAGGGAGTTGGAAAGATTGACCAGATATTAAATGTCCTTGCTTACCATGGAGTAAAACCAGAACTAATTAGCATTGAAAGGGAGCCCTCTATTGGCTGTAAGGCTATTACCACATTTTACTGTTATATAATGTATATGTATTCTGCATGCATGACATTGGGAAACTATATTATTAGTCTATTCATGTAAACCGCAAACTTTTGTTTTTGCAGGTAAAGTAAAACACAAACTAATACTGAAATTTGGTAAACTAAACATTCAGCCATTGTTGTGTTTGGAAATGAAAAAAATCCACCAAACTTATTTGAATGAAAATGTAAACTTAGGCCAAAGCAGAATTACATGCACTGTTTTTACATACTTTGGGTTGTCAATGCCACTATGTACCATAAGATACCCTGCATCTGCATCTTGATTGACCATTAGACTGCTCATGATCAATACCTAACAGCAAGCATGGTGACTGCATCTGATGAGGCAGCAACTACAGATCTACAGCTGCAAGATGTGCTAGGTGGCTGTAACTGCATGCCTATGTTATTAAGTAGGAGGATAATTCTTGATTAATGATAGCCAACGGGTTAACTAACTGCATGAACACTCTAATGAGAGTTTGGAACTTTGTCAAATGATAAGTTAGAACCACTTCTGATTGGTTTCATGTTAATAACACATCCTTTCAGCATTATCATAAGTAGATCAAGTCGTATGTAGCTCCAATGATCCAAGTTAATTTCTTACACAGTTTTTTCCTGCACTTGAGTGCCCACTCGCTAATTGGCCGTATCATACCATTTCCTATTAGCCTGGACTTTGATGTGCTCATTGTGTCCTCTGTTGTTTCCACAGGCTTCAGTTGTAACACCACGTAGTTGTTCAGAGCTCCGACCGTGTACTATAGCTTCTCAGTTCAGATTCCAATGTCCCTGGATCTTTCACCATAAGGTCCCTGCGTTTTGTCATCCAAGGTCGTGCGCCGCCCTGCCCATGTCCCATTCACATGAAGCAAGAACTACTGCCGAGTTATTGTTATGTGGCTCGCCTGGATTCAGTTGGAAAGGCTTAAACGCCATTGCTGTCCTGCTGCACTCTTGCCTGTTTCCTGAGCTCGCTGTCAGGCCTGAACTGATCTCCTTGCTAAGAGCCTATGTTTCAACTAGATGCTTCTAGTATTACTACAACTTATGCAATATATAATATGTTGAGCGTCCAGTTTCTATCTAGTAAGCTTAGTACTACAACTTATGCAATATATAATAATGTTCTGTATCCAGTTCTATGTACTCCCTCCGTCCGAAAATACGTGTCATCAAAATGGACAAAAAGGGATGTATCTAGAACTAAAATACATCCCCTTTTATTCATTTTGGTGACAAGTATTTCCGGACGGAGGGAGTAGTAAACTTTCACAACACCTGTGAGTCTGTTCTAGTGATATGTGGCGGTTGTTTCAGTTCCCTGCATCTGTTCTATCCTGTTGGTTGTGTTTGGGTACCTAATTACATGGATGTATACATAATAGGCTAGGAATGTGAGTTATCCACAGTTGGCCATTATCTCCAAGCAACACAAAACTGGATAAAACATCTCTTTATGGCCACGAAAGCTTGCAGCAGGAGATTGAGTGTTAGTGGAATAGAATTTGTGTAGTTCGTTAGCGCGGTTTTGGGTGACATCAGGTTTTCGCCCCATGATCTGTTGTTCCTGATGACAGGCGCAGATAGTGGGTTTCCTGAAGTTGCCCTGAACTCGCTTTTCCTCTTTCTCTCTAGCCTTGCTGGTTTCAGTTCCCGAGACATTGTATTTCCGTTATGAAAGTAATGGAAAGGGGAAAAGCCCGGTTCGAAAAAAAGTGAATCCTACAGCCAGAGCTACATGTATAGACGTGTTCCAAATATCCCCGGATGCTTCCATGGTACACAACTTTGGGGTTTAAATTGAAATCTCTTGTGTTTGCTTCCAATATTCAAATACGTGTGCATGAACCTCTTTTCGAACGGAATATGAGTCTGAATGTATTGTGGGGAATTTGCTTGTAAAAGCTGAACTGAAATAGTTGATCTCGGCTTGGGATAATCCTAGACGCCCCTTGAGTTCATGCCTACAAAGTCTGCAGCTACGACAACCACGCATTGCACAAACAACTCATCCTTGGATCGCTGAGTACCCCGACATCAAATTACTCTAGGAAACAACAAAAGGTTTAACAAGAAACTCCATGGCATTTGACCGAACATCTGTCGGGCGTGGTGTCCGCTATGTGTTGGAAATACGGTCAACCTAGAGGCAATGATATTGTATTATTATATTTCTATGTTAATAATTACTCCCTCCATTCCACAATGTAGTGCTTCCTCTATCCTCGTGCTTCAACTTTGACCGCAAATTTAACTACCAGGACCGATTGCGGCGGGAGCAAAAATTATATCAATGAATTCGTATTCAAAAGAAGTTTTCAATTATATATTTTTTTCTCCCGCCGCAGTTGGTCTTGTTGGTTAAATTTATGGTCAAAGTTGGACCTCGGGAAGCGTGGGCGCACTATATTTTGGAATGGAGGGAGTAAGAGTTTATTTTTTATGTTATAACTGATATGATTCTGGAATATGTGATTCAGTGGAAACTCATATGCACGTGTGTTGGAAATATGCCCTAGAGAAAACTCCTCAACGCATTGGCTGTCAGCAGATGTGGTCAGAGTACCCACACGAGAGGCATCCACCTGGACAGTTACACTGATCGACAGAAGAGCCGATGCGCATATCATAGCCGGTTCGTCGGGCGCATCTCACGGAGTGGCTCGCCGGGGCCACATGTGGCGGTGGCGATGGGGATGCAAGGTACTGCTGATTGGGTCTGGGCGACGTCCCGGGGTCGCAGCGGATGGGGACACGGGGCACCGTCGATGGCGTCAGTGCCTCACCAGTCTCGCATGGCAACATCCCTGCAGGTCACTCTCGATAGAGGAGGATCGGCGTATTGGATGCAGGCTGGTGGAGGATTTTTATGATTAGGGTGACTCGTCGGTGGAAGCGCAAGCGAACAGAGGAAGAGGAATGATACGAAAGAAAAAACAAATCACTGGATGTAATCGATGATGTGGCTAGACTGCTAAGGTAGAAAGAGGTGGATGGTTGCATGTTGATTGTTGATGAGAACAGTGTGCATGATGAGAAATAGGTATTGGTGGGGATCTACTTCTTAAGAATGTCAGATGTGGGCTATCCCACTAAAATCGCATATCCCGCTTAATGATATGTGGGCTTTCCCACTTAACATGTGTGGGAGTTATGTAGCGGATGGGACTGCCCGTTTAGCGTCCCACTAAGAGCATCTCCAGCCGTTGCCCCCCCCCCCAGGGGGCAGAAAAATCGCCGCCTCGGGGCGAGCCGGCGGCAAACTCGGCTCTGGAGCCGGTTGGCCACCCAGTCGTCGCCCCCGGCGTCGATTTCGACCCATTACTCAGCCCAATTACAACCAAAAATGGCCCGATATCTGCGTGAATCGGCCCATATTCGGTGCAATTCGGCGTGTTTCGGTGTGAATTTTCTCATAAATAATTCAACAAATAGAAATCAATTAGTTCATTACATAGTTCGGCGTGTTTTGGTGTATTTCTGCCTCCATAGTTCATTATAGAAAATCAATATAAATCAAATAGTTCAATACAAATTATATAGTTCAACAAATAAAAACTCATATTTCATCACACGTCATTCCCGGCGTCGCCCTTGAGCCTCCATAGGTGCTCCACCAAATCGTGTTGCAGTTCTTGATGCACCTGTGGGTCTCGGATCTCCTGGCGCATATTGAGGTAGTCGGTCCAGGTTCCTAGTAGCTGGTGATCAACTTGGGCAAGAGGACCCTGCCTGTAATAAGGTTCTGTGTCAAACACTGGCTCTTCCTGCTCGCTCTCAATGATCATGTTGTGCAAGATGACACAACAAGTCATGATCTCCCACATTTGATCTTTCGACCAGGTCTGAGCAGGGTAGCGGACAACAGCAAATCGATATTGGAGCACACCAAATGCCCGCTCGACATCCTTCCTGCAAGCCTCCTGAACCTTCGCAAAGAAGGCGTTCTTGCCTCCTGGCACAGGGTTTGAGATATAGTCTTCACAAATGTCGACCATCTCGGATAGATACCATCAGCTAGGTAGTACCCCTTCTTGTAGTGCCGCCCATTGACCTCGAAGTTCACCGGAGGAGAATGACCTTCAACAAGCTTGGCAAAGACAGGGAGCACTGCAGGACGTTGATGTCATTGTGAGTTCCTGGAATCCCAAAGAAAGAGTGCCAAATCCAGAGGTCCTGTGTGGCCACTGCCTCAAGTACCACACTACAACCGCCTTTGGCGCCTTTGTACAACCCCTGCCAAGCAAATGGACAGTTCTTCCATTTCCAATGCATGCAGTCGATGCTTCCAAGCATCCCAGGAAATCCTCTTGCTGTATTCTGTGCTAGAATGCGAGTAGTGTCTTCCGCATTGGGTGTTCGCAAGTATTGCGGTCCAAACACTGTCACCACTGCCCCGCAGAACTTGTAGAAACAATCAATGGTGGTGGACTCGGCCATGCGCCCATAGTCGTCGAGTGAATCACCGGGAGTTCCGTATGCAAGCATCCTCATAGCTGTCGTGCATTTCTGGATTGAGGTGAATCCAGGTGTGCCGGTGCAATCCTTCCTGCACTCAATCATGAGAAAAAGCTTTCGGCTCATCCGATAACGGCGCCGAAATGTTTTCTCACTGTGCAATGGAGCGTCGGCGAAGTAGTCGGAGTAGAGCATGCAGTAGCCTTCCAGACGATGCCGGTTCTTTGCTTTCACCCGCCCTGGCGCCGAACCACCTCGCCGCGGCTTTTCACTGCTCGCGAGTAGGCTGGCGAGCACCATGAGATGCTCCTGCTCCTGGACGTCGGCTTCGGCTTCCTCCTCCAGCAACGCCGCGAGCGCCTCCTCGTTGTCTGAGTCCATCGCCGAGCTGGGCAAATCACCGAACACTTTGCGGGCGAGGTGGGCGCAAACCCGTCGGTGTACAGGCCCTGCGCGACCGGAACGCCGGAAAAGTTGCCCGGACGGCCGTGGGGAGGCTGCCTCGGCGAAACATCTTTTTTCCGGCAGGGAATGGTCTATCTAGCTGTGGTGGGCGGTGGACGGCGCCGGGATCGGCA